TAAAAACATGCTCAAGCTCCGGTTGAGTCCAAAAAAAGAGTCTCGAGCGAACAAGCGGGTCGAACGCGGCCCGCTTCTATCATTCATACTTAAACTAAGTGACAGTTATTTCTACCGAGCCCCCTCTCATAATGGCGCCCGTCACACAAATTATGTACTTTAAGACCTCCTCGTCCTACCTCCAGGATCCCGCTCGGTTGATTTCTGAGCTTGCGACCACAAGTTCAGTAGACAAAATTGAAGGGTTTTCTAAGTGAATCACTAGAGTCATCCTCGAAGCATGCCAGCTTATCATTGATTAAGGGCATACCTTGGTTTCGAGACGGAGGATCCAAGCAATGCATTTTGGGTCTTTGGTAAGTCAAGTTTGCGACATACTACGTCCAATTGCGTTGAACTACTCGTAGAGTGGACTTCCAAGTCTGCGCATGACACATATCATCAGACAGACACTTTCAAGGCTACACAATCAGCTTCTCGGCAAGTCTTTGCGAGCAGACCTACCCACACATTTGCTGGGTTCTCCAACACTAGTCAGATCTTTTCTGCTCCAGTGACGGAATTTGTCACTTTCACTCTCAAAGAGGGTGTCAGTATGAACGCGCTTCAGCCCCTTGTCCAACAGCTTCAGGCCAAGCTTCAAGGAACACCCAAGTTCTACGGCTCGAGCTGGGCACCTGTCGTTGATAAGCCCAACGTAGTTCACGGCGTGTTAGGATGGGAAAGCGTGCAGGTAATTTCAATATTAGTTCCTCAGAGTCACCTGCTTATTCATCACAGGCACACTGGGATGCTGTAAGCTCAGGTCCCCTCAAAGAGATCATCGATAAAGTGAAGAAGGTTGCAGACCTTTGGCTTGTCCACGCCGTGCTGACGCGATACAATGTGTGAACTTGATTATCGAATGCTTTGTACGAACCACACTTTGTTGTTGTTTTGTAGGAACATATTTTGAAGTCATGAAACATGCAGTCCTGGATATTTCCGAGGAACATCGACAAGTTTTTCTCTGTTTTCTACACGCAGTATTTTACAAGTTAGCTATATGCAAGTCTCCCGCTGTGGGTGCACTTACCACTATCGTATGCAGTAGCGGTCAGTGGTGAACTGACGTTGATGCTGACTCACGAAGTCCATAAGCACAGCTTCGTCGTGTTGTCTTCTGACAAACTTATGCTACTATACCTTTCATGTATGGAGGCAACCGTAGCTTGAACATGACACTCAGCCACATACACAGAAATAGCAGCCTCGTCCAACAAGTGTGAGATTCAGAAAATAACAACTGGCTCTTACGAAGGCCCTCTGTCGGAGTGTATCTCACGCGTGATGAGATTGAAGAACACCAGCATTTTCTACAGCCTTGAAGACAAGGCACCCGAGCCTCACTCCGATGCTGAAGCTGGCGATGATGATGCAAAAATCCCTTGTTGCAGTTATCGAGGATGCTCTGGGCAGTGGACATCAGCTAATTAGAGTCTGTTCGGGAAGACGATTTCGCCCAACTTTGCCCAACTTAAAAACATGAAATCACGGTTAAGTAAGCATGCCGGTGTGCCGGATGAATGTGACAGATCGGTGACGGTCAGTAACAGGCTCTTATCAGTCAATATGCCCTCGACGCGGACGCGAACCTCTGTCCGTTTACGCAGTACCACCAGGATGCCACCAAAAGGCAAAGGGAAAAAAAAGCAGCCGCTGATGATCAGGATTCCTCCGGAGAGACGAAAGACCGTTGCATCTAGTCTTTGGCTGACAAAACTACATCAGGGAAACCCACCCACAATAAGTTAGAAGAAATACCTCTAGGCTAGACGAAATGTCCATAACTTTGATAAAAATTAAATCAAATTAAGTTTATTGACTTAGCGCACTGTTGAGAAACAAGTGCGCAACACACAAGCTGTAGATCTCAACCACTAAAATTTGTATATTCCAAGAAGAAAAACATCACAGTAAGTTTTATTGGCCTTGGTGCATCAATTATTGATTGATGGGATGGTAGTACTCTACATGGCTTCAAAATGCGTCTGTTGCAGGCAAAGGAGGAGACACCAATGCAGCCCATGATGCTATATAGATATATCCTAAGTGGACTATAGTCCTAAAAGTCTGATACATCTTTAAGTCTAGTTATCCACCCAGCTGGGATATATCAGTGGTATTCAAAGTTCAGAACAAACAACACAAAGTAAAGGATAAATCCAACCACTGCACCTTATTAAAACTCCAAATTATATCTCCACCTTGCTTACACATTCTACACTGGACTGATAAGATTAGTCTACCCATGCCTTGCCTATTGCTGCGCAAACAGCAGCTTCAAGCCCTGAAAAATACACACAATAATCTTGTATTAGCTCGCTATGTAGAGCTTGTCAGCCACACAATTGATGAGCTCCTTGAGGAACCTGACTCCGAAGATGAGAGTGAAACTGGCAGCTTATTGAGTGATGATGGATCCATCAGCATGTCTGTCTCTTCGATATCATCAGATGTATCATGGAGCTCTCTCATGTCAGGTAGTACTATTGTGAGTTCAAGCACTTACTCGCTCAGGACATCCCATCTCCCATCTGATGGGCCAGAGATGGCCACTCCAGCTTTCATGGAGTTTATAAATGCAGTTTGTGCTTTGCATGATGAAGCATCGAAGAGTCATGTTCTTAATGCCAGACCCAAGCTTAGCTGTGCCCCACAGCTGCACCTGCTGCCAGAGTGGGAAATACATGCTCCTGAAAAGTTCTGCCAAAAGCTGCATGTCCTGCCTGTCGTGTTTGATAATCTCATCAACTGTCTCGGGCAACATCCGATTTTCTACAACAATTCACATAATCCACAGCTCCCTATCCCAATCCAACTTGCAATTTTTCTCAATGGGATAGGCCACTATGGTAATGCTGCAACAACAGAGGATTTAGCAGAATGGGCAGGAGTGTCAATTGGAACTGTGTACAATTGCTTTAAACGAGTCATGATCACTATCTTGAAGCACCATGATGACATGATCCACTTTGATCCGCTTGATCAAGAAGACTGGGAGGAATGAAAAAGGCCACAGGAGTGGGTTGAGGGGAAAACGTGCAGGGAATGGCACAGCAGCTTCCTATGTGTTGACAGCACCCTGTTCAATTTGTATCAGAAGCCTGGGTGGCATGGGGAAGGATTTTTTGACAAAAATTCAAACTACTCACTCACAGCACAGGTACATTGACTTTTGGTTTCATTAATGGCATGCTAATACTTTTCAAGGTTGTTATCTTACCTCACAATCTTCATATCATTGATTATGTGATTGGTGTACCTGGCAGCCTTCACAATTCAAATGTTTTTGGGTGCACAAGAGTTGCACAGAAGCCAGATGAATTTTTTGGTGTGGGCCAGTGGCTATGGGCAGACTCTGCATATGCAGCACAAATGTGGTGTGTCACGCCATTCAAATGGCCACCAGGGGGAAGTTTGATGAGAGATCAGAAGACCTTCAACTACAACCTTTCAAAAGTAAGCATGCACAATGCAAATTAAAACAAGGCTTACCTAGTTATAGGTCTGTGTTCGCTCTGAACATTTTTTCGGCTCACTCAAGGGCAGGTTCCAGAGCCTGTGGGAGCTTTGATTCTCGATCCAGGGTAAGAAAGAACTGGATTATGCAAACATGTGGATTTGCTGCTGCCTAATCTTGCACAATATGATCATTGAGATTGAGGAGAGCCTTGGTATTGCAGGTTCTGGTCAAGACTTTTACAAGGAACTGACTGGGCAAGACATGAATGAGGGTGCAGATGATGATGGCACAGATGAAGAGGATGGATGTGGTGATGAGAGTTATATTGGCACAGTGGGATAAGATTTTTGTAACACTTTGATGGCGCACTTGCTTTGGGTCCTAGCTCAGTAGACATCCATAGTGAAAATAATGTATACACAATCTACTTAAACAACAGCTATACATCAATGACAGAATGATGAAGAGAACACATGAAGTAACAAAGAAGATGTGATAGTACTCAAGTTGATGGGTCCATTCCCTGCTCCATTGCGATCCACCAGATCCTTGCCTCCTCCTCATCTCGATGTGCGTGGGCAAGCTCCAGCTCCAGCTTTGTCTGCTCCAGTTGCTGGCCCATGAGGTCACATTTGTACATGAAGTCTTGCTCAGCAAGACACATGCTGTGCTCGTGCTCACTTTGAGCATTGTGCACTTTAAGGTCCCTGGACCAAATGTTGTAGTCCATCTTCATTCGCTTGAGGTGGTCATTCTTGGCATGATCACCATGTTTTTCACCAATCGACTGGATCAGTGCTTGTGCTGTATTGGAGAGCTGCTCAGTGGTAATAGAAGTCTGATTGTCATTGGTGCATTTGTGTGAACTTGAAGGGGGACAAGTGACTGGGGGTGATTGGGGTGACCCACTACGAGTGGATGCCCCAGAGAGCTTCATGACTTGGGATGCTGAACATCCTCGAACAGGAGAACTTGAATTATGAGACTGAACATGGAGGCCCTGCATTGCATGACGAGCACTGATATCAGAATCATCAGAGTCCTGTGGTGTAGCATCACAGCTAGAAGCAGATGGTGGGAGATTGGAGAAAAATGATGGATGGTTATCAGACTGAATATCACTGTCTTCAGGTGCTGGAGATTCAGGAGAGTTCAGCAATATCACATTTTTGTCAGAAGGATGTGTTGAGATTGGAGTGACAAGAGGGCGAAGATGTTGGAAGGAAGGGAATGTGAAAGGGGTAGACACATAAGTTGAACTAGGAGCTGCTGATGAAGAGCGGGAAGATGATGGTTGTTGTGCATGGAAGAACTGATCTGCTGGTGTTGTTGTATTGGCTGCAGCAACATCACCAACAGGGCCAACATGATCTTGACCAATATCAGTGTTGTCCACATCCATGGGTTCCCTGTCTTTGAGAGCGTCATCCTCTCCATCAAGCTCGTCTTCACCAGGGATCTGTACATCCTTGCCACCAGACCCATTGAAGTATTGGAGTGCATTAGATTCAAAGTCTTGCCCAGGGTCTGCAGAGGACGACATGGTGTTATATGCAGGGTTGGTTCTCCACCAACCATGAAGGTCTGGCCACCACAGGAACTTCACCAAGTGTGAATCTGCAAGAGAAAAAATAAAACGAACGGCTGATCAGGATCATGAATTGAAACCCACCAAGTAGTGTTTTCATCTCTGGGTCCTTCTGGAGGTCTTCAAATGTTATTCCAGTGCCTGACTGCTTGAGGGACTTATTGACCTCGTTGTATTTCTTCTTGAGTCTAAAACATCTGATCAGTAATAGATAGCATGAATAGGCAAACAGGGGATAATATTTTTCAGGGGTACTCACATTCCAAACCGTGTCTGGACAGGCTTGATGAAAACCTGGGGGTTCTGCTCGAAGAGAAGTCTTGTCTCAGGATCCTCATCATTTTCAAATACAGCATGAGCAAGCTGCAAGTAGTAAGTTTCCCTAGGTGTGCCACCTTGTTTCTTCTTTCTGCCCTGCTCCTTTGCATCCTTCACAGAGTCTGAGAAGAGTTTGATTCATGTGTCCTCATTAGCTTTGCACCAGGCAATGAGCTGAGAGGTATGAGCACTGTAAGCTTTCTCCCATTGAACTGACTTTCTTGCAGTGTTCAAAGCAGGAGATGTTATACTGCCAGAGATCTGTGGGTTGCTGTCTTCATCTGCTTGTGTTGTTGTGCTACTAGCAGTAGCTTTCCCCTTGGCATCATGTCTAGATTGTATTTGACTGCAAGTTCCCTGACCTCTAGCATGCACCATATGGTTCCAGAGGGTTCCCAAGGACCAAGAGAGTGATAATCAGAGTGGCAATCAGGGATCAGGTAGCAGCAGTGAGGTCAACAATAATGACAATAATGACAACAACAATGACAACAGCCAGGCAGGGTGGGGTTTGAAAAATGCCATGATGCTGGTGGCTGGTTCAAAAAGAAATTTCTCAGGTGCGAACTTTGAATACCACTATCCATTCTCACTAGATATCACAGCCGCATTTTTCGCATTTTTGAAACTCAGCTACTTTTCAAGTGTCAGGATACATTCCAGATTTGGTAGGGGATATATTCCTATGTTATGACCGCAATTTTGGCTTCCAAAAGCGGAAATTCACAAAACACATCCTATTTTGGTCACTTCCTCATATCAGGGCTTCCCCACATTATTCCCACACTCCACACTTTCGCATTTTTCAGCCACACAGTGTGGGAATTACACCACAACACCCAAAACACCACTGTCATATCCCACAATCCGGACCCACATTCCATCATATTCCCACGCCTTCCAAGCCTACATCCAGACCCCACTTCATATCCAGCTCATTCCCAGATCCCCTTCCACTGTGCTCCACACCTCAGCAGGATTGACTATGCTCTGGATTTACCCCTGAGCTCTGGACCATCGGATCTCCACTGCTAGCCTGATCCATACCCCCCTGTCCCATCCACCCTATGCACACTCCATCCAGCAAGACATCCAGACTTCACCTCATCTCGGATTCCGGACTATATCCACCTTCTTGTATTCCGGTCCTGTATCCACCTTGTCTTCTGGATCCCCAGATCTCCGGACCTCCGGATATTAATGCTGGACCTATTCCCACCCTCTGTCCGATATCCTGCACCTATCCCCATTTAGGCATTCTCTGCCTTCCAGCTTTTGGTTACCTCTTGTTCTGTCTTGCTTATTGATCCTTGTATGAGTCCTCATCTCCGAGTTCATTTATTTATGTTCTGACTTACTTACTAATGTGTTTCCACATGCTTGTACATAGCCTTGCTCCTTTGCTTACTGATCCCCTCAGATATTGTTCAGTATATAACCCCTGTAGATACTCCTGTAGTTCCTCAGTTTGAATATCAACTTAGACTTGCCCAATCCTCTCTCGGACTTTGGTCCACCTAAGTCTGTCCTACCCATCAGGCCTAGGGATTGACTCCCTAGGCCGGAGCTCTGCCTTTCTGGCACTTCCCCTCTTTCCAGACTTAGGTCCAATCCCTGACCCTCTGACTCTACCTTAGTGTAGTCTTCCCCTGTTTGTTTCTACATTGGACTTCGTCCGATGTAGCCCCTATTCCTTCTGGACATCCTGCCCTCTGTACCTTCGGACATCCTGCCCTCTGTACCTTCGGACATCCTGCCCTCTGTACCTTCGGACATCCTGCCCTCTGTACCTTCGGACATCCTGCCCTCTGTACCTTCGGACATCCTGCCCTCTGTACCTTCGGACATCCTGCCCTCTGTACCTTCGGACATCCTGCCCTCTGTACCTTCGGACATCCTGCCCTCTGTACCTTCGGACATCCTGCCCTCTGTACCTTCGGACATCCTGCCCTCTGTACCTTCGGACATCCTGCCCTCTGTACCTTCGGACATCCTGCCCTCTGTACCTTCGGACATCCTGCCCTCTGTACCTTCGGACATCCTGCCCTCTGTACCTTCGGACATCCTGCCCTCTGTACCTTCGGACATCCTGCCCTCTGTACCTTCGGACATCCTGCCCTCTGTACCTTCGGACATCCTGCCCTCTGTACCTTCGGACATCCTGCCCTCTGTATCTTCGGACATCCTGTCCTCCTGTCCTCCTGTCCTCCTGTCCTCCTGTCCTCCTGTCCTCCTGTCCTCCTGTCCTCCTGTCCCCCTGTCCTCCTGTCCTCCTGTCCTCCTGTTCCTCCAGTCCTCTGGACCTTTGGACCTCCTATCCTTTCATCCTGTTTCCTGTAGAAGTATTACCTTGCAGTGGGAACTCTCCTGAGCACTTCCTGCGTTCCTCTGGAACTCTCCTGTGCTCCTCTGGATGTTTCCCGTGCTCCTCTGGAAGTGCTCTAGTGCTCTCCAGCAGAGTAGCCAGCCTCTGGAAGTCCTCTGGACTTTGTTGGACCATCATCAGACCTCATATGAAATGAAGGGCACATACTCGGGTAAGGGGCACAGTGTATGAGCTGAGGCCAAGCCCCTTTGAGTCAGTCTCTCTCCCCCTTGAGCAGCATGGTTCTTAACAACCACCCAATATGGTATACCCCACAATTTTAATTATTCCCACACCCTCCCCACCTCACTGCAGCTTCACCACCACACCACAATAGCTCCCCTTCATATATAAGTAGTAGTTTGGTATATACATGTATAATGTAGGATAATAAATCGCTTTTTTTTATTTATTTGTGTGCCTATACCTCCTCCAGGGCCCTTTCAACATAGCCAAGGGTACAGAACATTTTCGCATTTTTGCTCCTTTGATAGGGAAGTGTTCCATGGCATTCAGAACATGTTTAGTAGTATATATAAGGAGATTCCAATCTTTATTTTGCCCCCTGAAGTGCTCTACAACAACAGATGTAGCATATATACATGAAAACACAAAATATGTTCCCATTTATTTATTTCTGAGTGGATATACTTGTAAAATGTATCCACAACATCTATTTATCAGTAGGAACAATGTGTCAGGAGTCCAGGACCATAGGACAAGACCCTGTGATGCAGTACACCTACCCTCTCCTGATGGTTTACCCTCTGTGATTTTTTTCCCTGTAGAACTGGACATCAAGGATGGTATGGGATCTATTCCTATGCATATTTAAAGTATGTCTGTCACCTAGCTACCACAGGAAACCTATAGGTTCCTTCAACAGGCACAAAAATATGGAAAATCGCATTTTTGACATTCTTGATGTTTTTAAGTATCTCACCATTGCACATATGATCTAGCCTGCTCATATATCATCAGTTATACATATATATATGCTTTGTATACCAAAGATCAGTTCAAAATAGGCCAGAGATTTGAGCTAGTGTGTATACTTGCTATTTTTACTGATAAGGGGCTCATACCTTCAAAACATCAAGATTTAATAATCAGACACCATGACAAAGAATGACTCTATGAAGATGGAGTCTGCCTTGATGATGGTGGAGCTTGGATCTGGGTCATACCAGATCTCCATGGCTGTTGTCACAGTATGCAATGAGGTATATGCAAGCTCTTGCTTGACATTCTTGGCAAGAAGACCATCCTGGACTTACCACCAGCCTACCAGATGAATTGCCACCATAGTATATTGATGGCATTGGGAGGACACACCCATTGCCTGAAATTGGGTCTGGATGAACTGTGATGCCAGTGTCTTGCAAGACAGGAGAATTTTGGTAGTCTACTTACTATCACCAGCCTACCAGACAAATTGCCACCATAGTATATCAATGGTGTTGGGAGGACATGCCCATTGCTTGAAATTGGGTCTGGGTAAACCATGATGCCAGTGTCTTGTAGGAAGGGAGAGTTTTGGTAGTTGAGTGCCACCATAACATTGCCTACTGTTATCTAACCATGACAAATGTGTGCCTATCAATGTAAGAGTTAACAAAGAAAGTATCACATCATTTAAGGACTTCATTACTTGTCTAAACTTTGGAATGAGATGAACACTTCGGTGGATATTTGTGACAGGTATAATACTTGCAACTCTCTCACCCAATTGCACAAAACAGCTGATTTTGTACATCCCATGGTTTGGATCAGGTGTAAGAGGAAACTGAGTGAACCACTCTACATAGGCAAGATGCTTGGGAGCCTTGATTGTGGCAGGGAATATCATTTGGACAGCCTTCTGTGGGATTGAGAATAGAATATGACATGAATATGACTCACATGGTAGCCTGTTGAAATTTTATCATTTGTGACAGCCCGAGATCCTTGAGAATCAAAAACATACCTTCAATACTGATAGAATGACCAGTCTCATCATTAATCAGCACAGTATCAAATTGTGCTGGTACATCAGCACCTGTCTGACTAGTGACCATGTGGTGTGGTTTGACATGTGCACTGTCCACCATAACACATGGATCATTGTGTCCTTGTGCATCAACACTTCATGACTTGATTATGTGATAGACAGGAAGTGTGTGGAACAGAAGGTGGATAGTAGCAGCAAGGTTCTTGAGGTGGTGATGAGTGGTGGCTTCATTTGGATGACACAGCTGTGCAATATATCTTGTGAGTGCCTCATGGAAGTACATGGCCCTATACTCCATGATCAATGTCTGAATCAGGACAGCTTTTGCACTCAGATGCTTCATTAATGTTTGCACATGGTTGAATGATAGGTTTGGTGAATGTGGTTGGTGTCGAATGGGATTGCTGTGGAGGTGCCACATGACATACTTCTCATGTTGAGCAATCTTCTCTTTGTGTTTGAGCCACTGAGTCATTTGCACAAACTCATCTTTGGCCAAGTCAATATGGAGGTGTTCTGTATATTCTATGTTATAATTGTCAGTTATACCGAAAGTCTTGGTCATCAAGATATAGTGGTGGCCTGTGTGAAGCTTTGGAAGATCAAAATTGTTTTGGATTCCAAGGTCAATGAAGATCTGCTTGTTATTGTGAAAAAGATCAAGAGCTTTGATGAGAAGAGTCAATGTTTCAGAACTATGGCAAGGATACTGTGCGAAGTACAGGAAGTTGAGTAGACCTCTGACAGCTTGTATGAGATGGCTTGGTGCAAGATGGTTGGGGAGTTGGATATCAATGATGATACCAAGTAAAAAATGACATATCTGACTATGCTCTGTACCACTGATTTGCAAGAGACCAGTGATACCTTTCATGAATAGATGGATGTGGTGATTCAGAGGGAGCCTTTGACATCTTACATCAATCTTGGCTGCTCCAAATGCCTTGGATAGCCAACCAAGGAGATGTTTAACAAGACCCTGATATAATTGGTGGAGTACATCTGGTGTAACAGCTTGGAAGATGTTGGCATAGGGTAGGGTCTCCCAGAATGGATGGATAATAGGCTTGATTCCAGCTTCATGACATGCTTGTACAAATTTGAGATCTCTGTCATCAATTGCAGCCAATGCATCAAGGACAGCATCGAGGTTGTGCAACTCAAAAGGTGTGGTATTGCTTCCAAGTTCATCTGGTGGTATGTCGCATTTGGGACATTCTGTGGCTTTGACTCCTATAGCCAAGACTTGCTCCAGGTAATCACCAACAAAGCAAGCAAATAACAGATGACCATGATGCAGGATACCATCTCCACTTTTCACAATAATACCATCTATCCTAGCTTCCTCCAGTGGTGCTAAAATATGGCCCATGCAGGTGTGATATAGGTTCGCAATTGTTTGGCATTGTGAAGCCTTGTTTATAATATGCTTGAGACAGGTGGTAGGAAGATAAGCAAGGAGAATATGGGCACAGTGAGACAGCTTTTGGCAAATTTCCTTTGGAATATTGCCAATAGTAAGGTAGACTGGATATGCTGTTTTATTTCAGAACATTGTGACTTGAGTCTTGTCACTTGAAATAATAATTGGAATTATGGTTGCACCTGGTTTGTGCTGATTGAGCTTCTTCTATTTAATGTGACAGTTAGTTTCAATGAGCAGAGATCCACAAAACACAAACTTACCTGGGTATCCCACCACCATTTACCAGTATGCATATCATGGAACAATCAGACAGTTTGTTCCTCATCTGCATAGTGGTGTTCTGGTGTGAAGACCAGGAACTCAGCAAAATCTGGGTCACCATACAGGGCAGTGACACATTCAATGACATCCCTATAGAAAACATTGAAGGCCTTGCCTGTGACGACAATCTGTTCACAATGGAACTTTGGATGGCCAGGAAGCTGCTTGTCAATGATCTTGTTCAGTTTCTTTGAGTTTTTGTAGGAAAGCCCAAGTTGTTCATGTACCTGTCAATGAAGAGTAGACATGTTAGCCACAATCCAAAGGCAAGATTAACACATATCCACTGACTTCATTGATGCTAAGCAAATCAGAAAATGCAGTTGACATTGGGCCACATAATTTAGCCCATTGGGCAATTTCCCAGTCCATTCAAGAGTTGAAGGGGGAATATGGATTTGTAGCATCATTGATAATGGTAATGTATGTAGCATTGGCATCACAGATGTTAGCTTGTGGAATCAGCTGCCCTGCTCGGGCATTAGGGTATCATACAATAGTGATTTCATCTTTCTGAAGCACACATTGCTCGATTTGCTGAGACAAATCATGATTGTTGCTATTAGTTTCTGTGCTGTCTTCTTCAGCAGCTCCAAGTTGGTCCAAGTCTTCCAAATCCCTTCCAGTTACAAGTGGTGGCTCCCATTCAGCATCATTGAGGCCAGGTACATCATCCTCACTGTCACTGCTTTCACTGCTGCTGGCATACCATTCTGTGTCCAAATTGGGCCATTGGAGTTCATCTTCCTCATAAGTACCAAAAAAGTCTCCTTCAAACTTAGGTGGTTGTGCAGAGTTGGAGTCTGCTTCAAGGAAGACAGGACCATCTGAAAGAGTTGGAGATGGGGAGTGAAAATTTGAGCGTGATACAGCAAGAATGGCCATGCAGGGTTGATTCTTTGTTTTAGCCAAGTATTGACTTAGGCCAGTGACCAAAAAAGTCATATTGCATCCTGTGCATCAGACCATACTAGTAGCAGGGGACATTCACTAATACTAGATATGACTTAGACTGAGTTGCATACTGATTATTACAACTGCAAACATACTGTGTTGTGGTGACTCCGAGTTGTGGGAGTAGTATGAGATACCAGGGATGAACCCTCAATTCTGAAAGTATATATTAGCAGATGATTTAAACCAAAAATGTCACCATCCCCAAAAACATCTCTCTTACCTACCATTTGCTCATCTCTCCATTCATTTCAGAAAAACACACACTCGTTCAGTCTTTTCCTCCTAATACATTCAGATAATACAACATGAGCACAAAATCTCCTGCTCTGAGTCAAGGTAAGCACTCACCAAACTATGTAGGAAGGTTTTGGATCACCTCATGGACATCTGTCGGTCCCAACAGGTATTCAAAATGCAAAGAAAAAGGTGCTTGAGAATGCAGGTTAGTAGAACAACCCAATGCCATTACTAGAAAAGATTGACTCACCCCATGGTACCATATATAGTCTGGCTGCCTGAGAAGAGTCGAAAGTGTGCACAGCCTGCAGACTCCAAGTCCATAAAGAGACCTCTACAAAAGAAGAGTCACAAAGACTCAAAGGAAGTGCCAACTAAGAAGTGGCGCCGAGGTAAGGAACATCAAGATTCAACACATGATATCATAAACTTACATCAAGGTCATGGTTCATCTGGTTCCATGACTACCAGACCTCTCATCAAATCTGTCAGAAGATGAGGTGCTGCCACCTGCACAACCTAGCAAGCACTGCCCACAGCCTGCAGAGTCAGATCCTGAAATGACTTCACCTCCATGGAACTTGAAGAAGAGCTGCTGAAGGTTCAACTACTCTGCTAGGCTGCAGAGCTATAGAAAGAAAGAGGGCTCTTGACTCTGGGGGAAGAGAAAGGCTACTGACTCTCTAAGTGTTGGTTGAAATGTGCCAGTGTTAAGAACCATGCTCAAAGGAGAGAGAGACTGACTCAGAGGGGCTTGGCCTCAGCTCGTACACTGTGCCCCTTACCTGAGTATGTGCCCTTCATTTCAGAGGAAGTCCAATGATGGTCTGACAAAGTCTGGAGGACTTCTGGAGGAGTGCAGGAGAGTTCCGGAGGAATGCAGGAAGTGCTCAGGAGAGTTCCCACTGCAAGGTAATACTTCTACAGGAAAACAGGATGGAAGGGTAGAAGGTCCGGAGGTCCAGAGTATGGAGGACAGGAGGTCCAGAGGTATGGAGGATGGAACGTCCGAAGGACAGGATGCCTGGAGGTATGGGGGACAGGACATCCAGAGGTACAGAAGACAGGAGGTCCAGAGGTCCAGAAGGAATAGGGGCTACATCGGACGAAGTCCGATGTAGAAGCAAATGGAGGTAGACTACCCTAAGGTAGAGTCAGAGGGACAGGAAGTGGACCTAAGTCTGGAAAGAGGGTAAGTGCTGGAAAGGCAAGACTCTAGCCTAGGGAAGCAATCCCTAGACTTGGGACAGAGACATAGGGGACAAATCCGAAGGTCCAGAATTCTGGCCTAGGGAATCCTTCCCTAGGCCTTATGGAAAAGGACAAACTCAGATGGACTGAAGTCCAGAAGAAGATTGGGCAAGTAGAACAGGATCTAAGATGATATTCAGACTGAGGACTCTACTGTAGTTGTACAGGGGTTATATACTAGAGGCTATCTGAGAGGATCAGTAAGCAAAGGAGTAAGGCTATGTATGAGCATGTGGAAACACATTGGTAAGTAAGATGGAACATAAGTAAATGAACTCAGAGATGAAACTAGTACAAGGATCAATCAGCAAGACAGAAACAGAGATAACTGAGAACCGGAAAGGTGGAGATGCCTAAATGGGGATAGGCGCATGATCTTGGATGGAGGGCGGGAATAGGTCCGGAGATAGTAACAGTTAATATCTGGAGGTCCGGAGATCTGGAGATCCAGAAGGCAGGATGGAAACAGGACTGAGATATGTGAGGTGGTGGATGTAGTCCAGAATCTGAGAGGAGGTAAAGTCCAGATGTCTTGCTGGATGGAATGTGTGTAGGATGGACAGGATAGGGGATCCAGGAATGAGTTGGATATGGGGTCCGGAAATAGGTCCGGAAAGCGTGGGAATATGATGGGATCTATGCCTGGCATATGGGATATGACAGCCAGGTGATATGTTCAACCCTTAAGGGAAGCAAGGAAAGCAAATATCCACAAAGTGACACCAGGTCAACTCTGGTGAAGCATGCTGGGAGCGTGCATGCAGGAATGTTGAGCGCATAAGAGCACAAAGTGTGGGAATAAGACGCATGCAGTGCGTGAATGTATAAAAGACTGATAGATGGTGTGAAGACATGTGCTGAAACTGCTGAGTGGACTGGTGATGATAATGGACTGCTACTGATGGCTAGGGTGATGACTAATGCATGCTGGCTGAAGATGATAGATTCTGACTCTAGGTGACTACTGACATGATGGTGGTTCGTGTATATTGTGGTGGTGGTAGGTATCTGAAAACTTCCTAGGCAACAGGTAAGCTGTGCCTAGGCATGCTCCCAGGGCTTGGAAGCAAATAGGGAGCACTCTAAGTATGTAAATGATGTAAATAAAGGGTCCATGATGAAATATAGTGTCATATAATGCTAAATATGGTCTGATAATGAAAATAGATGAAAAGGACTCACTAGGGAACTGGTTGGACGATGGATGGATGCTCCTGGATGCTGTGCGACATAAGGCGACTGAGCATGTGCGCGGGAATGCATCGCACAGTGTGGGAAAGTGTCGCACCTCTGGTGCATTTTGCAGGAAAGTCATAGCTAGTGAGTCATGTGCTGTACCGATTGTCATGAGTCAAAATATGGGCAATCTACACCTGGAGGAATCTCATTCCTTACACCACCAAAATGCAGAGGATGGGGCATTGCCACCACCTGCATGAGGTAGTAAGCACTCATGGCTTGCAGACTCAGAGTCAGAACTTGAAATGACTCCTCCTCCACAGAACTTGAAGATGAGTTGCTGAGATGCCAGTGAAGAAACATTAATCAATAAGTGCCATCAAAGTAGGCAATATTTAGTAGACACAAGATCACAAACTTACAGTGGCTCAAAAAACTGTCCGCATGTTTTGACATTTGTCACTATCTATGATATTGTGTGAGAACGAACAAATGCCTCAAGGACATGGTTATACCACATTGTAGTATGGCTTCAGGGCTTTCATTTGAGCCCTACACTGTGGGAATTGGTGGAGATATGGTGGAGATACAAGGCTCACAAAATGGTAACTCATGCGGACAGTTTTTTGACTCAAGTATTTTACAATAATAACCAGGTATTCTAGTATTTTGTATGACCTCCCTTGGCTTTAATTACTGCCTCTATCCTTCTAGGCATACTCTCAATTAATTTCTGGCAATCCTCAGCTGTGATCTTCCCCCATTCCACTGCCACTCTCCCAAAGCTCCCATACTCCTTTAGGGGGGTTTTCATAGGCTTGAAGCTTTTTCTTGAGTGTTCCCCAGAGATGTTCAATGACATTGACATCAGGAGACTGTGCTGGCCAGTCAAGAACATTGATGTTATGTTCTTCAAACCATTCCTTAGCTCTTCTGGACGTGTGCTTGAGATCATTATCCTGTTGGAAAATGATATCTTCTTCATCAATCCCTGATTCTGCCAAGCTAGGCAGCAAGTGGTCATTTAAAATGTCCACATACTGCTCAGCATTCATCTTCCCCTCAACCTCAGCAAGCATTCCCACACCATTCCATCCCATACAGCCCCATACCATTAAAGAACCTCCTCCAAACTTGACAGTCCCATTAACCTCTCTGTCTGTTAGGCCATCTCCCTTCTTTTTTTTCCCATACATATACCTTCCCATCTGACCCAATCCTATTGATTTTGGTCTCATCTGACCATATAACATGCTTCCAGTCCTCTACAGTCCAGTGTTGATGAGCTAAGGCAAAGGCTAGTCTTCTCTGCCTATGTTTGATGGAGAGAAGAGGCTTTTTCTTCTTTGTTACTGCCTTGAGATGAGCTGCCTTGAGAACATTCCTCACAGTTTGTGAAGAGACAGGGGTAGTGATGGTGGAATTGATATAATGGGTGGCTTGGACAGCATTATCAGCCTTTCCTGTAGTGATATGTTGGATAATAGCCCTTTTGTCAGTAGAGGTAAGCTTGGATGGATGTCCTCCACCAGAGTTTTCCTTGTCTGGGTGGCTTTCTTTGATAAACTTGGCCACAGTGGACTTGCATACTCCAGTTCTAGAGGAAATTTGGCAAGCAGAGAGGCCAGCATAAGACAGAGAGAGGATATCATCTCTTTGAGCAGAGGAGATGGCTTTCATGGTGATTATGACTATGATACATGAGATATTCTGGTTTATATAGTTAGATATAGTCATAAAATAACATAATGACACCACTTCATAATTTATATAATAGTGGCATGATTTTTGTGGTATCATAAATAATGATTTATATAGTTTTAATATACACTCAAAAAACTGTCCACATGAGTCATCATTTTATAAGCCTTATGTCTCCACCATATCTCCACCGATTCCCACGGTGTAGGGCTCAAATGAAAGCCCTGAAGCCATACTACAATGTGGTATAACCATGTCCTTGAGGCATTTGTTCGTTCTCACACAATATCATAGATAGTGAAAAATGTCAAAACATGTGGACAGTTTTTTGAGCCACTGTACAGTTATCTGGTTCCATGGCTGGCAGGCTTGTCACTAAACCTTTCAGATAATCAAGCACTGCCACCTGCACAACCTAGTAAAAGATGTGAGCTTACTAATCAATAAAGGCTACTATCAATGCTGATTTTTACTAGCAGTGTGGTAAGAACATACCTCTGAGTCTTTGAACCATGTCATTGATGATGTATATGGGGAGCAAGGCATGATTTCAGATGAAGATCTAGTTGATTGCAAAGCTGAAATGTCTAACTTGGAGTTGAGTGATGAAGAATTAGAAACAGTTGCAAACACCATATCGGCAGAGGTAAGGCAACATTAGCACTCTCTCATTGTATGCCACAGTTAACATGCTTACGAATCACAGACACCAAGCTTCACCTCAGGTTTAAAGACCAAAAAAAAGCAATCCATCCCTGTAAGTGTTTTACTTCAGTCTTGTTCACATTTTGACTATCTGCCAGGCAAAGGTGCTGCAGTCTGCATGGGATCATAAATGAGCATGTGAGGTGAGAGCATCAGCCATATGATAGCTACCATACTGAATATGCTCCAAACACTTGAATATAGATGCTGATATGAATGGAGGACACCCACATGCCGAAGACAAGTACACCTGACTTGGAGGAGTCCAGCTCCAACCACAAAGCTGAAATCTCTTCATTGGACAAGCTGGAAGTGTCAATGATCTGTACCAAAGGACATGGCCGATATGCATCCCACCACTCTGGAACTGCAAAACTGGTCCAAACCAACCTTGGGAAGGTGAAGTTGACCGAACAGGATTTCACCACATGACAGGTTATCCAGGACACTATCCTTGAAATAAAGGTTCACCTGACATTTGTCAATAGTTATCCTGAGTTGACCAAAAAGAGTCAATTTTCTTGTGAAGCACTTCTGAGAGCAGCACACAAGCAAAAGGCTGTGTTGGTTGAAAAACAAATCAAGACAGATAAATCCTATGCAATGGCTCTTGCTAACCTAGTACATCATTCATAATTGTTGTTAACTTTCATCTCAACATCTAGTATGCAGGTCAAAGCCTGAGTTCCAATCTTCCATGGTGAAATGAAAGAAGATGCATTTAGTCAAATTGCTGCTTACTTTTGTTTCAGCCCCAACTCGGACTGCACTAGTGTTGCCCAACCATTCCTTCGCACACACAGCTATCACTGTGTCTTGCAGTTCAACGTATATCTCCTGATTTGTGGTAATGATGTTTTACTTACACCTTCTACAACACAAGAATATGCCTACTGCACTATCGAAGAAGCCTTGTGTGGGTGACATCATGGTGCATCTCATGAAAGGCCACTATTTCAATGGATCTCAGTCAGTTGGTGTTCCATTTGCCAAATGGTTCAATGAGATTGTGGAGAACAAGTCTAAGTGCCCAGAAGTAACCATACCCATGGTGGCACTGATGAGCACTGCAGTAATTTCTATACTCTCATCACTGCTTTTGGTTACTGACTTTAAGTATCCAAGTGTATGCTGCACTCTCTTGGAAGGCTAGCAGCTGCCTGTCAAAGTTTAACTTCACTGGCAACCAATTCAGTGAAGTCTACCTCTTACATGTCAAAATCCTGGAAGATCTTAGAATGAGAGTGCCAGAAAAGTTTCATAAGCTTATGGCCAACATCTTTGAGGCAATACAGTGCATCCATCTTTACACATTTTGTAGCTTTCCCATCATTATTTTTACAGGAAGCTTGGCCATAACACCATCTCCACCACATCACATGCTGAGGCTCTTGCATTCCTTGATATTGATGATGGCATGGATAGCAAGTAGTCATACAAAGGATCTGAATCCATTCTTCACTTGTCCATAGCATTGTTCATTGACTTGGACTTGGAGACCTGTGACCCTATCCCCATCCAAAAACATGCCTTTACTATCTACCAGTGTTTCTCGCATTCTACTAGTATACTACCTCCTGGTACTATACCCCTTTTAATAAAAAACTAAATTTTTTGTGTATAACATTGGATGTAAGGTGGCAAAAAAAACATCATGGATGAGCTCTAACCCTCAATATGCATGAGTAATCATGCAGCAAGTTCATTCTAAATCTTCATAATAGTTGATTAAATTCATGTAATGTTCAATAATTTAGGAGGCAGTAAAAGAATCCATCTAAACTTCTAACTTTCATAATTATGAAAATTTTGTTCAGCTTAGATGTATTTCATCTACAGTGGCTCAAAAAACTGTCCACATGTTTTTGCATTTTTTACTATTTACAATATTGTGTGAGAATACATAATGACCTCAGTGACATGCCAATATCATATTGTAGTGCTGCTTCAGGGCTTTGAATTGAGCACCACATTGTGAGAATCAGAGGAGATATGGTGGAGATACAAGGCTTACAAAATCATGACTCATGTGGACAGTTTTTTGAGCACATATTAAAACTATATAAATCATCATTTATGACGCCATAACAATCATGCCACCATTAAATAAATTATAAAGTGGTGTCATTATGTCATTTTAAAACCATATCTAACTATACAAACCAAAAACTTCCATATGTCATGGTTATATTCACCATGAAAGCCACCCCCCCTGCTCAAAGGGATAATATCCTCTCTTTCCTATTCTGGCCTCTCTGCTTGTCAAATTTCCTCTAGAACTGGAGTATCCAAGTCCACTGTGGCCAAGTTCATCAAAGAAAGTCACACAGACAAGGAAAACTTCTGTGAAGGGTGTCCATCCAAGCTCACCTCTACTGATAGGAGGGCTATTATTCAACATATCACTACAGGAAAGGCTGATAATGCTGTCCAGGTCACCTATTACATCAATTCCACCATCACATTCCCTGTCTCTTCACACACTGTGAGAAACATTCTCAAGACAGCTCATCTCAGGTCAGTAACAAGGAAGAAAAGGCTCTCCTCTCTATCACACATATGCAGAGAGGACTAGCACCCTTCTTTTTTCACATATATACCTTGCCATCTGACCCAATCCTATGTATTGTGGTCTTATATGAAAACCGTTGCAATGCATACCATGTAGTAAATTGCTTATATCCTTTTAAGAAAATGTTTTCACATCTCCAGTGTAGTACAACTATTGTAGCCTGGATGTAGGGCTATAATATTGCTCTTATCCACATTTGCATAGCTGCCATCCCTGTAATGATATAGCCAGAGTAATCAATCTCATACAAACATTGCAACAGTTTTGTTGCTTACTGTACATATGGTGGCAGTTCAGGCTGACCAGGCTGCTCCCAAGACTGCTGATTCCTGCCAATCCAAATGGGGTCATGTAAGTACTCATCTATGAGCACTAGCACTGATACCAACATATTTTTAGATAAGAAAAATGTATAAAGTAGTTGATAAAACAAGCAATGCCTCAGGTTTATCATTCAACATCAAGAAGGGGGCTAACATTGGTGATGGAGGTGAGAGTGTGTGGGCAGACTATGTTTCAGTATGTGTTACTTGTCTCTCCCACTCTACTGCACTAACTATTCACATAGAAAAACCCTGAAGCAAAGAGCCTCAAAACAAAAGGATGGCTGCATTATGAGAAACTCCAAGGTATTATCCCAGTGACCACGAGCAACTGGACCAGCTTCCATACCAACATGAACCATGTCAGAGACACATCAACTCCCACAGCCAGTAGCAATGTTACAAGTGGTGAGTCTGGTGACACAGTCATGTTAATGCTGGAGAAAGCACTTGACTGGGTTGAGTTCAGTCCTGGTGGTCTTGTTGATACTGAGATGAGCAACTCCTCCAATCCAATACCCCTGCTGCCCCCGCCTCTCACACCTGTCATGCTGGATGGTTTCAATGCAGCAACACAGCCCTTTGTTCCTCCTTTGACCTATTCTACACCTGCTTCATCAATCACAAAGCACAAATGTGATGGGGACAATAGTTCATGCAATCATTCCCACCCCCCAAATTCTTCCAAATCAAAGAGCACAGCAGGATCAAAGTCTCAACATCTCAGTATGCCACTTATACTGGAAGAGTTGGGGGGAAAGGTTGCTGATAGTCTCAATAACACCACTGTGGTGCTTCAAGACACTGTTGCTGGACATTTTGTGGATCCTGTTCCACTCTGCAAGCAGTGGGCCATCCTTTGTGTGCAAGAAGAAACAGACTTGGATGACCATGAGATTGTTACCATGATCAACCTTTTCTGAACTGATGTCACAATGGCTGACTCTTACAATTCCATTAAACAAGATGGCATTTGCAGTATTTTTTTAGTACAGTGCAGGTAAGGAAAAGTAACAGCATATCTCAGATGCATTAGACTTAGTTAAACAATATATGCTTCATTTGTATGAAGGGCCCAGTCATGCATGACATCAAGTGAAAAGTGACATAGAGTAGCACTCTTGGATTTCTCTATAAGCACAGCAAATGCAGCAAAGGATGACTTTCGATGGTCACTGAGGTGTAGAATGGTAGCTTTGCAAATCTTGATGATGGAGATGATGAGCTGGACACCATTTTCAAATCCATTAGTAGTCAGTGAAGGTTCAACAACTCTGCTGGGCTGCAGAGTTAAAGAAAGAAAGAGACCTCTCACTCTGGGGTGAGAGGAAAGCCTACTGACTCTCTAAATTGTTGGTCGAAGTGCACCAGGTGATATGTTCGACCCTTAAGGGAAGCAAGGAAAGCAAGGATCCACAAAGTGACACCAGGTCAACTCTGGTGAAGTGTGCATGTGGGAATGTCAAGCGTGTAAGGGCGCAAAGCATGGGAATAAGACGCATGCAGTGTGCGAACATATAAAAGACTGAAGGATGGTGTGAGGACATGAATTGAGACTGCTGAGTGGAGACTGATGATAATGGACTGATGCTGATGGCTAGGGCGACAACTAATGCATGCTGGCTGAAGATAATAGATTCTCACTCTAGAGACTAAGTGACATGATGGTGGTTGTTCTATGCTGTGGTGGTGGTAGGTGTATGAAAACTTTCCTGGCAACAGGTAAGCTGTGCCTGGGCATGCTCCCAGGGCTCGGAAGCGAATAGGGAGCACTCTATGTATGTAAAATGAGATAAGGACAGGGTCCATAATGAAATAATGTCATACAAATACTAAATATGGTCTGATAATGATAATAGACAAGGAAGGACTCACTAGGGAACTGGTTGGATGATGGATGGATGCTCCAGGATGCTGCATGACAAAGTGCAACCAAGCATGTGCACAGGAATGTGTCACATAGTGTGGGAAAGTGTCGCACCTCTGGTGTGTTTTGTGGGAAAGTCATGGATAGTGAGTCATGTGCTGTACCAATCGTCATGAGTTGAAATATGGGCGATCTATGCCTGGAGGAATCTCATTCCTTACATCGGGGTTGAACTGATGTGGTCTTTGGCTAGTTTGCTAAAGAGGTGTAGAAGGGATGCACTGAATGGCTGACCAAGGGCATTATGCAAACCAGGATCATGTTCAGGCTAAAGACAATACATTGTACATTGAGGGAACTGAACACAACAACAAACAACAAGATAAAAACTACTGACTATTCTATACCAGCACTTGTACACCAGGCAGTAAAGCTTTGCCTCTATGATACCTTTCTTTAAGGTAATTGACCCACATTGATTGTGTGATCTCATCGTGGACTTGGTGTGCACGTGTGCATGCTGCATCAGTGGGTGGTCCATCAGTGAGTGTACCACTGTCATAACAAGCCCCCCATTCATCAGACCCCACATTATGGTAGTCCAAGATATCATCAGGGTCATGGATGCAGATGATGTTGTGGATGAAACACACCGCTGGAGGGATGCAAGATTGTATTTCCCAGTTGTACTCGGGAGGGAGACAAATGATCTGGAAGCGCTTTTTCAACACACTGAAGATACACTCAATGACATTTCAGAGCTGTGCATGATGCAGATTGTACAGTTCCTTTGGGTTGCAAGGCCTGAAAAAAATAAGTACTAGGGGCAGTAAGTTAGTGGGATAACATACAACATATTCACCTTGCCCCATTCAGCAAGGTGGTAGCATACACCATGATAAGGCACGAGCAACTCATCACACAGCAAATCCTGCATCTGCAAGGTACAGCTTGCCTGAAGGGATTGTGAAGTTGGTTAGACAAGCCACATTGTAGAGGCAAGTGTCTGCTGCAGACCCCTGGAAACCACTTAACATGTAAGTGGAACACACATTGAAATTGCACATGGCAAGGCAATTTTGCATTAAGTTTCCTTTTTGGTCACAAGCACCATCGTGATCAGCAGCATCAGGATAGCATGCAATGTGAGTGCCATTGATGGCACCAGTTACATTGGCAAAGTAGGGATACAATTTCTTTGTCTTGAGGATTTTGGCAGGTGTTGGAGTTTGTGCATCTGGAAGCCGGACATAGGTAGAGTAGATTGGCTGAGAGGATAGTGCAATGAGAATTTGTTTGAAATACCTTGTGAGGAATATTAAACACATAAGTATGAGAACTAAGGGAGGACATACTTCGATATGGTATCATTCAAGCATTGAAAATGCTCAGCAAGGCCTGTAACACAGGCATACAGGAAGATAGCCAGCTGCTCTTCCAGCATGACATTTCTTGAATCGCTTATCCTACCACTATGAAGTACATCCTGCAATACAAAGAATATGTGGCAGTGTACACCAAGCTTGCATTGGATTTGTTCTGGATGGCCGCTCAGAAGCTCATTTACCCAGTCAATCCCCAACAGAGCTGAGGTGTGATATGGTTGTTTGTTGTAATATGCATGTGTATAGGAGGTAATGGTGTCCCTGGCAAGACTGACAACTTGAGAACCTGAAGTAACCAAGTTCTGAAAAAAGTATATAATTAGTTGGAGCTTCTTCATATCTGACTGCTCAGCATCCTCAATATGGGCCTGCCAGTCATCCTGCTCATCCTCCTCATTCTGCTCATCCAGCTCATCCTCTGAACTCATCTCATCTTCATTGGTGGGAGGGTTATCAGTGTGGCACAAGAGATGGGGCAGCATGGCTGTAGCATACATAGAGCATATGTGCTGTACTATATGTTACTGATAGTGCTAATCAGCGTGACATTAATTCAAGCTCTGAGCTTACTCAATGATGTTTTTCTTTTTTTCAAGTTGGGCAAAGTTGGGTGAAATCATCTTCCCAAACAGACTCTAATATCCTGGCTGTTGATCCTGGAAATATTGTGTTGCTGATGTACAGAGGTGATTTGCATGGGCTGGGAGATCACGAGAATATATGAGTGCAGGTACTAGATGCCCTGTATAGTGGGAACTCATAGAATATTTTTCTCAAAATCTTGAATTTTGTGACAGACTTTAATTAACCCTCTGTGATGCATCATCAGTGGGTGAGAGTGAATTTCTATATTTATATATTGCTGAAACTGCCAGCATGCAGTGCTCTGTGAGCTGTCTTGGGGAATATCAAACAAGATAAGGGAATAGGTATAGTATGAATAGCACAGAGACCATCTGATTTTTGATGTTGGTGTTTTCTAGCTTGCACTTGCATCACTAGTGAGTGAATTAGCAATGCAACCAAGGCTGTATGACACATCACAGTTGTCTCCATACACAAAGGGATGGTATTGTTGCTGTAATGACTCATTGCTCTATTCTGGAGCTCCACATGAATGATTGCATTCTACCCATATGTATGGTACCATTCACTGCAGGCATTTTCCCATTTTTCTCCAACAGACATCCAAAAAACATTGATTGAAAAGATAGAAATTTCTTCTCATGTTGCCTGTCAAAACATTGAAAAAAATTAATTCATGTGTTAAAGACTTTCTTTGGATGGGACATGATGCAAAAATTGGTCATGTTCCTTCAAGGATAATACTGGATTTTCCATCTATTTTCTTTTAAACAGCAGCTTACAATAAGGTTAAATTTCTTGTCTGTGTTTTCAAATATACACAAAACATTTGAAAAACATAGTATATTTGGACAAAAATGTTACATTATTGTAACCTGCTATTTAAAAGACAATAGATAGAAAATCCAGTATTATCCTTGAAAGAGCATGACCTATTTTTGCATCATGACCCATGCACAGAAAATCTTTAACACATGAATTTATTTTTTTCAATGTCTTGACAGGCAACATGAGAGGAAATTTCTATCTTTTCAATCAATGTTTTTTGGATGTTTGTTGAAGGAAAATGGGAAAATGCCTGCAGTGATTGTAAGGATTACTGTGACTCAAGAAAATGCAAGCAAAGCCTTCATCAGGCATTTGACCACAGTATGACAAAGAGTTAGCTAGCTTTACCTGATGTATAAGATTGAAAATATATATCATAATTGCAGCTCAAATGACAAAGGAATAAATAGGTAGACTATGGTGATGGAATCTCCCAAATCTATCATATTGGCAGACCTATTGGGATTTACCAGCATAATGCTATGTGCTTGCCACATATATATGGGGGCAACAAAGAGTTGTCATGTGATAGCAAGTTGCTGACTTTCCAACAAGCACACCTGGCTTTAGATAGGCAGGTTCTGATGGCAGAATCTGCAACTGCTGACAGTGTACCAGGGGGTGGCAGAGGGTTCATCAGCAAACCACAACTTTTCCCACAGGAAGCACAAAATTTGTGTTCTTGTGCAGCTAGTGACAGACTCTACAGTTCCACCAGGGTCCCAGCACACTCAGACCACAAGGCATCCAGCTGCTCACAGTTCTACATGGCCTACAGAACTGTGCAGCACAATTCAACTTGTATACCAGTATTAATGTAGTACTACTTTGATAATTCAATTACAATGCATTTTCAAAAAAATTTCTAAGTCCAAACAAATCTCAGAGGCAGCTAAGTCCAGTTTTGACCTTGTTCATTTTGAATGTTTAAATTCAAATGCAATCATTACAACAAGACAACATCTATTGTACAATACATTTGGCTATTTATATACTACATGCATGGTATAATGGTAAATAGAGACGATAGGGTCGGCATTCAGAAAGCTTCATCTCTGAGTCATCAATCCAACTGGACCTTGATGTGATGACATCCAAGCAATTCTATATCTATAAATTAGTGCTACCAGTGTGAGGTAGTATGCATTTGTAGGAACTTACCTTGAAAACCACTTGGCATGTGTCCATGATGAGAAAGACCATGTTTTTTGAATGCAATCCACATGTGGCCTATTCCTACATCTGCCTTGGTGAGTTTTTGCTGTGAAATGTCAGATTTATGCTTTGAGAGACTGGCCATGACTTCATGTTCATGGAGTAAGCAGTCAGCAAGCATCTTCTCTGCATTGAAAACATCTTGTTTGGCCCTTGCAAGGTCCATGATGAGGTTCACTTCAAGATCATTGATATCATGGGTTATCTATAAAATATTGAAGAGCATTGTCTGGCATGTAGTAAACTACTATGAGTTACTTACCATTGACCTGATAGCATCCACTACTTCATATAAGTCAGAAATAGCACCAGATGGAAACAGAGAGTTAATGCCTGCATAACAATGAACAGGACAATGTGAAGTTGATGAGATATCACTTATATTAAGATGGACTGGTTTGCCATTGTGACGATCATATTCCTGCTAGGCTTGCAATGGCCATCTTTTGATATAGGTGATGGAAAGCTACAAAACCATCAACCGCTTTTCCTGCACTCAACCCGCTCTGGACATGTATTCCCACACTCTGCAGACCTGCGCATTCACTCCCATGCTGCACACATACCTGCAGTCAATTTTCCACACCTTCAGACTACCTTATAGATGTCCTGCATCAGTCCATTGTCCATCCTACCTCATTAGTACATATTTTGCCTTGCCTTGTGTGTTGTAACAAGTGTTGCAGCCTTATTACATGTCTTTACATATTCCTACTGCCTGTCTGTCCTGTCCCTTCTGTTTCCAAGAGGGCTTAGCTAGTATAAAGTGCCTAGAGTGACTACTTTGTATTTACTTCCCTTCTACAGTATTTACTTCCCTTAGGTTTTACTTAGGAGCAGTCACTATTAGTGTGCGCTTTTAGCCCCTATTGGGTTACCTTATACCTGGACACCTTGTCTTGACTTTCCTTACCTGTGCAATCAATACCCTTGCCCTCACTTGTTACCTGCACCATTCCTTAAGACTTCCCTACCCCTTACCCTAGCATCTCGCACTCCTGCATCAACCACTCATTGACCGCTCATTGACCACACTTCTGCATTCCTGCACTCTGCACACTCTCAGGTCTTTATTATCATCAGCCGTTCTCAGTAGCAATTCCCTTTAGGGTTGAATGTTCTTGCTTGCAAGTGTAGCAGCTAGGCAGAGCATCGACCTACAACAATATTTTTGGTTAGGCACTTTATCAAGTGTCTAGCCATTGTTGTGTTTGCACACTGTTTGACATGGTGTGTAGAAAATGTGAGTACTGTCATGATTCCAAAAATGCAACTTAATGTTCTCACAGTGATTTGGCTTACATCCAATCTATATATGTCATACCAGTGTCTGTCATGCAGCAAAAGCAACTTCCAAGACCACAGTGCCATTGCTCAACACATGAGCCAGCCTCACTCTGGCTGTAACAGTTGGTTAGAGGATCTCATAAACTTGTGTTCAGCATCCATTTGTGCTGCCACCTCCATGGATATGGACCATGAGCTGAATATCCCCAACTTGAACTTAGATGTTGACCCTGAGCTTGATGAGCCTGTATTTGGACACCCAAGTTGGGATGAGGGATTTCAAGGTGGTAGTGGTGAGGGTGATAGTCAGGTTGATGAGCCAACTGACTTGGGCTTCACTGACTGGTATCCTGAACCCCCTCAAACATACAGCAGGGGCTATATGTTCCTCCATCTGTTTCATTCTGACGAGAACAGTGTGTACTGTGTCACAAATCATTATTACCCATTTAGTGGCCAGAAAGAGTGGGAGGTTGCATTATAGTTGCTGCATTCAGGGTTGAGCATGGCAAAGATCAACAGCTTTCTTTCACTCAAGATGGTCAGTTTTAAACTTTTTCATTGCATTCACCATTCTGGCAAGTATCCTGTTAAGATAAACAGTCTTCCATTGTCACTTTGGTCAGCCAAGGAACTATGTAGTTGAGCCAAAATGCTACCCAGCGGACCACACTGGTTGTCCCAAGTCATCCCTACAGTACATCTGATGAAATCGCCTGTTATTTTGTATTGGCATGATCCCCTGGAGTGCATTGCAAGTATTTTAAATCACCCTTTCTTTCATGATTGGATAGATTTTATGCCTTGCAGGGTAAATACTACAGTGCAGTGATTGTGTCATGTGTACTCTGAATGGATGACTGCTGATGATGCATGGAACATGCAGGTGCATTTTTCTTTCTTTCTATGTGTTGCTGTACTTACTGTTTTCAAATAGTCAGCCCTGCCAAAATGTGCAACACTCCTTGGGACAATTTTGTCATCTGACAAGACCAATATCTCCATAATGATGGGTGACAGAGCCACACATCCCCTCCTCATCAGCCTTGCTAATATACACATGTCCATGCAGCTCAAATCATCATCTAACACTTTCATTCTTACTGCCCTCCTCCCTGTACTGAAATTTATTGTAAAAAAAAACATATGTGAGGTGTATTCAAAGATCACCTAATCCATGAATATCATGCTACATCTTCTCAAGCAGGCTGCTTGGAAAGCCTTGTATCAGATTTTGAACCAAGAACTGTAAGTGTGCATCCTTTTGCAATGGGAAAGGCAAGTCTGGGTTAAGTGGAAGGTGCTTGAGCAGTATAGTTTCTGTTTCTGCTTGGTGATCTGTTGTCTCAGTTTCATATGAATCATAAGGTGACCTTCATGGTTGCAACATCCTTGGTCTGATCCTGTTGGACACAGTTGATACTGTTTCACACCACTCACAAGCTACATTGTCAATACTCTGGAGGCCATGATGCTGGCTAGTGTTGGTGGGAAAACCTCTCTGGTCACTATGGCTATGTATAAGCAGTTCAGAGACTCTTTCCACCATGAGCCTTGGACCAAATCAACTACACTGGCCCAGCTGTGCATCATCTGGACAAGGGCTGATCCAAATAATATTGAAGCATTCTTTCATGAAGCCCAGAAGTTTCACCTAAATGGCATATCTGAACCATCTCATTTCTTTACTCCTGAGACACTCCATCACATTCATTGAGAGTTCTATGACCATGATGTGAAATGGCTCATTTGTGCAGTGGGAGACTGTTATGCTTAACAATGAATACCTCACTCAAGTCTACCAAGAGACAAGCTTAGTATTGCTAAGGTCAAGATAGGGAATACATGAGTGTAACTATGTGTATATATAAGGGTATTCAGGCAGAGCTCTAATGTAGCTAGCCAATGATATAATGTTATGTAAGATTGTACCATAGAATGTGATGGAACACTAAAGAACATATGATGTCATCTGTGATCAGGTGAAGTTGTGAAGTGTGAAGAGGTGACATCATGAAAAGGTGAAAGGGTGAAAAGGTGAAGGTGCTAGGAAGAACCATAACAGGGATGCTGAACTTAATTTTTGCTTTTCTGTGCTACAGCCCATCACAGGGTTTCACCATTTTCAGGGTGGCATTACAAAACTCAAAAAAGTTACAGGGCATGCTCAGTGTGACATCCAGCACTCAATCATTGCAGTCAGTGCAGATGCAGTTCCTAGCACCATGATCACTGCCATCCAAGCTCTAATGGACTTCTGTTATCTTGTGCAGTCACCTTAAATTGACAATGTTGATCTTGAGCGCATTTCTGCAGCTCTCAAAGTGTTTCATGCCAACAAAGATTCAATTTTAGCTGGTGGATTTCAGTGTGGTCAGCATGGTGCAGTCATTGATAACTGGTATATCCTAAAGATTGAGCTTATGCAGAGCATAGTTCCAAGTATCTGAAACAGTGAAGTTATCATGCAATGGACTGCTGACACTACAGAACATGCACACATCACTGAAATCAAGGATCCTGCACACTCAAGCAACAACCATGACTATGATTCACAGATCTGTCAACATCTGGACTGTGCTAACAAATGCTGTTGCTTTGAACTTACCACAAATCTGCTGGACAATATGCCAGGCTTGAAGCAACAGGCTGACACAGATCATGGTGATGCTATTGATGATAACATCCCAGCAGAGCTTCTTGCAGCCATCAGATGTCCTGGCCATTCACATCCTATCACCAATCACTGTGCAATTGTGAAGCTCCTCCAGTACAGGGAGGTGGGAACAGTCCCTGTGCCATTGCACTTGTTCTCTATTGGACACACATCATTTCATCTCACCTATGCCCCATTCATCAGAAACATTTCTGTTGATAATACTGCTCTCAAGTTTGGCCTTCCCAACCTACAGTGGCTCAAAAAGTGTCCCAATGTTTGTGGGTTTTCATCTAATTGCTTCATTGTGAGTTAGGGTGTGGGAATATGATTAAGCTATAGGGAGGTGTCAGAAAGCTCTGCTTCTTTGCTTTGTCTTTGTCCCTAATAGCATGGGAATCTGATGTTAGCATGTGAAGATATGGTCATTTTAATTTGGTGACACATTGGGACACTTTTTTGACTTTCAATTTGACCAATACAATCTCCATAATTCTAGTACTTGGTGTCTCTTCCTGTTGCTCTAGTGACTTCTACCACTCTTATAAACACACTCTAGATCAATTCCTAGTAGTAGCCATTAGTAATCTTCCCTCACTATATTGCAACTCCCTCCCATAGCTGAAATAGCCCCTATTATTATTCTCAGCTCCTCTTATCTGTTTACCAGGCATATTTCTACTAAAACTGGTCTGAACAGGAATACTAATGGTAGAGTCATCAGAAAGGCCATCCCAAATGAGGAAAATATCAAATTATATCACCTTTTTAAGCTCATACCATATAGCAAAAGATCTTTTGTGTATCATATTTTAACTGGGCAAGCTGCCAATGCTACTTAAGCCATCAAATGCATTAGTTCTATCATCCACATCACTGTCTCCACTCAATTGATCAGGAATGCTCTCAAGGCAGCCACCCTTAAAGCTAAAACCAAGAAGAAAAGCTTCTTCTATCTTCAGCCAATAGAGGGAGGAGACTAGCCTTTGTTCTAAAGCACCAGTACTAAACTTTAAGGACTAGAATCAAGACATCTGGTTAGATGAGATTAAAACCAAGAGGATGGGCTTAAATGGCCAGGAATATGTATGGCAAAAGGCAGAAGAACAACTAGGACAAAGAGAAGTCAAGGAAATACTCAAATTTAGAGGATGAAACTTGATGATATAGGGCTATATGAGGTGAAATAGAGTAGGAATTCTCTGTGGCTGGAGGGGAGGATAAATACAGAGCAGGACATCTCAGTTTTGGAGGAGGGTCTGCTTAGAAGCATGTAGAAATCAGAAATCAATGAAGAAGACAATATCTTCTAATAGGATGATGATCTCAAGCATACTCTAAGTCAGCTACCAAATGGTTTGAAAACAATGATATTACTATTCTATCATAGCCAGCATAGTCTTCAGACCTCAACCCTACTGAACAACTCTGGAAATTGCTCAGGATATCACTTGCAGTATATTAAAATCCATCATAGGGGCTATTTCAGCTATGGGAGGGAGTTGCAATATAGTGAGGGAAGATTACTAATGGTTACTACTAGGAATTGATCTAGAGTGTGTTTATAAGAGTGGTAGAAGTCACTAGAGCAACAGGAAGAGACACCAAGTACTAGAATTATGGAGATTGTATTGGTCAAATTGAAAGTCAAAAAAGTGTCCCAATGTGTCACCAAATTAAAATGACCATATCTTCACATGCTAACATCAGATTCCCATGCTATTAGGGACAAAGACAAAGCAAAGAAGCAGAGCTTTCTGACACCTCCCTATAGCTTAATCATATTCCCACACCCTAACTCACAATGAAGCAATTAGATGAAAACCCACAAACATTGGGACACTTTTTTGAGCCACTGTACAACCAGCCATCACTAACTTTCTTGGTTGTGAAGCTGCTCATGGGTAGGATTTTGTTCACACCATTGGGGGGGCTAGGAGAGCTAGACCTACTGCTTCACCTCCATTTGAAAAGCTCCAAGTCTGGTTCAAGCTTCAATTGCAGGATACTGATTTTCATGACATTAGTATCATATGGCCTGCCCAGACTTTGAATTATTCACTACCTTCTGACATCTGGACCTGCGGCTGGTATGATCCAGTCATCATTAACAATGATGTGAAATGTGCATGGCCCATTGATGGTCTTCATGGTATGTTCTGCTCTTCTTCCATACTTCCTATTTTCATTATCAAATACCAGGGCACACTGTTGGTGAAATAAGGCTTATTATGCATCCTGTTGGCAAGGCTGGTACAAATTGGTCATGGAAGGACTGTTTCCTTGCCTATGTTTATCGCTTTGACTTTGTTCTGCAAGGTAGAAGTGATTGTGAGCTGAGTATGCAACTGCACATACTCAAACAAGTGATGTGTTCAAATTATACTTGGGTAGGTGATATCATACCAGTCACACAGCTTAGGGCAGCTGTCAACCTTGTACCTCATTTTGGTGCAAGTGCAGACCATCATCTCACCCCATATAACAGTATGGAACATTCTTCAGAATTCTGGCTTAATAAATACTGGGATAAAAACACATTCCTCCCACTTTCCATGTACTAGCTTTTGCAGATAGCTGTATCAGTTTTTTCACTTCACACTATTTTCAGCATTAATCACTATTAGCTAGAAGTCATTTTATTATTAGTTCACCTGAAACACTGAGCTTCATTGGCACTATGCAATGCATGATAAGCATTCAAGTTTGTCTCCAGTGGTTCCACCATTGTCATAATTAGTGTAAATACCCAAAAATGGCTTTCTTTTTCAGGATGGTTGACAATGGAATGAAACTTTCTTCTCTATTGTCCATCCCTGACATCAGCAATGTTCATGCCACGAATAAAATCACCTCTGATGAACTCAATCATTTGGTTACACATGAGGATCCACCAGAGGCCTCACAAACACTAGGACATTTGCTGTCTCACATCTTCCAGCCTTTCAAAATCCCTCTCCCCAATATATCCAACCTCAAAATTCCCCTTAGAAAAATAATTTATCCCAATGAATGCACCAGATTACAATACTAGGGCTTATCGCCAGATTCCCTAGTGCCACTGTACAACATTGCAACTTGCACTTGGAACTGGGATCTTCCAGTTAATCCTCCTGGAGATGAATCGGACTTGAATACTGGGAGTGCTAGTAGTACTCCAGTGAGTCCAGACCCAGAGGCTGCAGGGAGTGCCACTTATGAAGAAATTGTTGCATCCTTTATGAACACTCTTGCTGGCTGCTTATTAGCATCACAACCCCTGCTCAAATGCAAGTGCCATGCAACTTGTACATGGAGCACAGCCAGTACTCACAAGGCATTGCCCAGCAGTGACATAAAGCATAAACCTGATCTTGCCCTCTCTGATAATATCACAGCAAGATGGGGAAACATCAGGGTATCTGGCAAGCTAACACACAGTCCTTACAAACCTGCAATGCAGCTTGGAAAGGCTGCAGACACCCACACCTACCTTATGATGAGTGAACAGCCCTGGAAGCGCTTCATGCTTATCTTATTGTTCACCAATACATATCACCATCTCAGAGTCCTCATGTACAATCACTCTGGTGGCACTGTATCTACTCACTTCAATATCTGCCAGCAACCAGATCTATTTTCTCATATTATTGCTGCTATCAATTTCAGCAGTCCAGAATGTATTAGGTATGATTCAACAGTCTCCTTCACAAAACATGTTTTGCCACCCCTTGCCATGGACATCCATGTCTATTGTCCAATCAAGAATATTCCTATGCAACATAGCAGTTCAGCAGATCCTGCTGCTTCCACCTCTAAATCTCTTGCTAAGCTGCTTGTTTCCAAGAGCCTGTCATCTGATGATCATCTTGAGTCTGTAGTCTCTGACTCTGAGGAATGCTCAAGTGAGGACTTGCTCGAAGGGAGCTCAAATGATATGACTACTCAATCATTTGCACATGAAGAATCCCTCCCCCTCCCTCTCACATGCAACCTACTATGGTATCTAGTGCCTCCCTTCTCGACCTCACATCCCAAATATCCCAGGACTTGACAGAGAGTATATGTTCTGTCATGCCCTATCCTTCCCAATTTCCTTATTCTGTGCACTCACCTGAACCTTGTGGTAAGATCCATGTAGGGGATAACATATATACCATCAAGAAAATTCTCTTTGTGAGTCAGGGCCTCATTGGCCATGGGACTATCTGCTATCTGGCCAGTTGGAATGAAGAGGACTATATTGTCAAGGACCATTGGGTTCTTGGCAAGCAGGACGACATCATCTTGAACAAGATTGAGATACTAAAATTGATGCATGGTGTCCCTGGTGTTCTGGAACTGGTAGATTATTGGCTTATCACAACATCAGAGGGTGAGGTCAACAACACTCAAAGTTATCACAAAAGAGAATGCCAGAGTATGCAGGGCACAAGTTGTACTCATGTCCGCCTTATCTTAAAACTATGTGCTTGCCCCCTCCACATATTTCAAATGCTCAAAGAGTTGGCAAGAGTGCTAAGGGATATTGTGATCAGTAAGTGTTTGGTTGACTCAGAGTTGAACAAGAGTGCTGAATTGATGTCCCTTCTTTTACTAGTCCAGAAAATGGTAGTGGAGGAGTGCAAGATTCTGCATCGTGATTGCAACCTGAATAATGCAATGATCCTGGGCAATCTAGATATTAGCAAGGGGTTCCTTATTGACTGGGAATTTGCAGTACATATTACTGCAGATAATAAATATACCATTGGTGGTACAGTGAGTACATCATTTCATATTGAGTTCAAATATTAATTTGCTTTCCAGGGCACAGTCCCCATCATGTCATGCAGGCTTCTCAGCCAAGTTTCACTCCTGCAGCAACAGGCAAAGGCAGAAGCTGAGAACAAAAAGCTATCAAAAACTCACAAGTCGAAATTGAAGAAAACTCCAGCACCAAAAACCTCCTTGGATTCTTTGGCATTGCCTGTTTCTCATGTGACCCAAGGTTACTCTGATGACCTTGAATCTCTCTTTTTCACATTCACTTGGATTTGCATTAACCCAATGGCACAGTCCATCAGGAGCATATGTCTAATTCATTGCTCAATCACTGGACCAGCCTTGACCTGGCATCATGTGCTGCCTTCAAGATTGCCTTCTTCATGAACCCATTGGATGAAGAACATCTTCTTAATAAATTTCACCTGTACTTCAAGCCTCTCATCTCCCTGGCAAAAGATTGGTGTGCAGTGTTGAAGGATAACATGGTTCACCCTGTTACCTTTGACACCATTCTTCACATACTCAACACTCATCTCAATCAACTTCCTGATGATGAGGAGCTTCAATCTACTATGGCAATGCTGAAAAAGTCTGCCACTGTTCTCAATAGTACATCCAACTTGAAATGTGCTGCTTCAATATCTTTGCAGCCTGTGGGCCAGGGAACACTAAAGTGGAAGAAATTGGATGATATCTGAGTCAGACCAGCAAATGTGTTTTTTTAATCAATGTGTCATTGCGGTAGTGTTGGGGGCAGAAATATTTTAGGGCAAGTGCTGCCAAAAAAAACAGCAGAATGGCAATTGGCAGAAATGTTTTGCATGTTTTTGCATATTTCTAGAGTGGTTCAAGATGACAGCGAAAATGATCTAAGCTATTACATGGATGCTACACCCTCCAATAACAATAGTGTGTCAATGTTCCAGACTGCCTCCATGCCTTGTGACCCATGGCCAACCACATCAATTTCCTCAATAAATCCCACAGGTGTGATTCCTTTATCAACCTTCTCCAGCTCGTTCCAATCAATAACACCTTTGTCAAAAATATCTGGGACTTCACAAGTACCTTCAAGTTCTTGCAAGCCATGGCATGAATCCAGCATCTCATTTTTGAACCTGCTGAATTCTTTGAGCAGCTCTTCATCTGTTATTGACTCCAGGCCTGCAAGAAATTCATTGTCTGAGTTGTGAGAGTCACCAGTGAGTGGAGGCACCCATGCAAAAGACTTTTGAAGTTCATTTGCTAAGGCTATGTCAAGTCCATACTCTGGTTGAGTGTGCATATGGGCATGTTTGTGATGTGTTGGCTTGCCAGCTTCATGATCCACCTCATGCAAGAAATTTGCATAGCTTGTTCAGAGTTTGCTAAGAGACTCAAAAGTCTGAACTGATAGGTTACAGTGCTTCACAGATTGTACCCCACCCAGGCCCAAGAAATAATGCTTGACATTGGCAGCATGAGGTATGATTGAGTGGATTATGATTGTGAATGCCTTCAATGGACAACACTCAGCATTGACTGGGAGGGTTTTCCACCAATTGAGTGCATCAGCTTGCCCAACAGTAGTTGCATTCATAAAAATAATGATTGGATGAATTTGGGACTTTTTGCTGTTGGACAAAGTGGTTGGTGATGATTTTTTGAGTGGGGCAGCCCTTGGACTTTTTGATGACATTCTGGTGTGCAGAGAGGCTCAGATACACTTTTTGAATGTCAATCATATGCTATTTACTTGTAGTACAAATAAGATTCACATTGATTTCTGCTAACTTCTGCCCACAACACTACATTGCAGTATTATCTCTTACATTGACTCATGATATGTATCACATATTTCCAGAAAACTTTCATTGCTATTTGTCACCTGTACTACTGACATGTTATTTGCCTTGCATCTGATGAACTTGTTTTGCTCACATAATATGTTGACTCAAATATTTGTATGATGTCTGAACTTTCTTTCATGCCTCACCACTCATGAACTGTGTAGCAGTACAACTGTGCATTGACTCAAAGGTGCAAACATTATCTCACTAACAGAGGCATGGTCTTTGATTATCTCCATCAGCAATGCATCCTGCATACAATTGAGGCAAATACTGCATGCTTACAGTAGTACTCAAAGAAGTATAATTTTTCTCAAGGCTGCTTGGATCCTTCTACTGAGATGGGTATATAATGGTGAGTCTGATCAATTTTGTTTTTTGTCTTGCTGCTCTCTGTATTGCACCATGCCCCCTTGTATGGTAGCCAGTCCTAGGAAGAAAAGGTCCAAGCACAAAGCTTCTGACACTTCAAAGGCTACTTCACCAAAGAGGCATAATGCTACAAACCTCTCTGAAATTCCCAGCATGCCACTCATGTCTCTCAGTCTCACTGAATTTGATGCTACAGACACTGCTCCTTGATGTTCTGGCTGTCCTAATGCAGGAACAGGGGGTAGGAACACCCAGCTGGAGAAGATCAGGATAGTTTTAGAGTCTCAGTCCCAGAATCAGAAACCTAAGGGTGCTACATCTCTTAGCACACTCAATATTAGAATAACATAGATTTGTTCATGTGGATCTGAAACAATCAGATACTCTGCTTCAAGTAAGTAATAGTAAATAGATAGAAATATAGGTATCTCACCTCAGTCATGCACATGAAGGCAAACATCTGAGGTGTCTGTATGAAACTGTAACTAACTAAATAGCTCGCATGCTCTTGTGTGAGTGAATAAGTATCTGAGACTTTGGGACAAAAGGTATGTGGCACTGGCCCATGAGATCAATGGATTCTGTAAGTACAAAAGGAATATGAAATAACAAGAGCAGATTATGGGAACATACAGATCACATGACAAAATGAAAAGACAAGACTGGAATGATGTGCCTCGACTGTGGGCACACTTGCTCATTTCCAACACTCGACCCCATGAATCCTTAGGCTCCAGAACTGCCTCATAAAGGCCAGAAGAGTCATCCAAAGGTATAACACAACTTTTGTTATGGATGGTGCTGATTGTGCATTTAGGTGTAGCCTCCACCATACAGTCCTGAGTCCATGAATCTCAATGTCAGTACTCTAGTTCCCAGCTTTTCATCGCAGAAAAGCGGTGGGAGGTTTGGATTTGCAGCTTTGACCACCACACCTATTATTTCTCCTGGTGTGGAGCCCAGTCCTTGAGCCTCTAATGACTCATATCTCACTATGGGAATGAAGGTTACCAAAAAATGCAATATGAACACTCTTATTGATTATGCTCAGAGTTCCCAACATCCACTTACTGCTACCTTGTTAGAGCACAACCTGGACCCAGCCCTATGCAAGGAGGATGATGTTAGCCAAACACTTTGTGCAAGATTGGTAGGATCCAGCACAGAGGACAGTGAATCCAGCAGTAGCACTACTGACATAGATGACATTGATGATGCAGAAGACAAAGGAGATAATAACAAATCACTGCAGTTTGGTTGGGGGAGGCTCATCGACAAAACAAAGAACATCCAGTGTGACAATCATACCAGCACTAGGCGCATATGATTACCAGCACAGTTCTTCTTACTACCAGGAAAGGAGATAAAGCACTGATCATTATCCATATATACCAACTCATCCACTGTTAGTATGCTCCTTGGACTATTGGCATGCACTCCTTCCATGACCTGTGCTCCCATTTAGCTTTGGTCCGGTCCTAGGAATCCATCCTCCCATGTCCTACCCATGTCCACCTATCTTCACTGGTGCATTGTTTTCCCAAATGTCATTGCTAAATGAGCTGCAGGTCTTATTACATGTTACTCACGTTCCACAGCACATGATGTCTTATTACCTATAGACTCATCATGTGCACACTTACTATGCTACAATTCTCACCTATGCATTCCAAATGTTCACACACTATGATAAAATGACTGCAGTACATATGAATGAGTTAGTTCCCTTTCCCCCCAGACTCAGCTCTATAGGAGAGTTGCTCTCACATTAATTTGTAGACCTTGTGCAATTCATTCTGTTTGCTCATACTGGACAATTGTGCACAATTTGACTGCTCTGAAGTTTCATACTGCTAGGACCTTATACTTACACTCTTGCAAGAATACCCGACCCACAACCAGTAACTTAGCATGGTCCTTCTCTCACGCTATTTCCTTTGTGTCTGGCCACTCTATCAGGCATGCTTGATTTCACACATGTTACATCTACCACACCAGTACCTGACATTCACTGCACTCGCACATATCTTCCAGTTACCCCCCCCCCCCCCCCCCCCCATGCTTGTGATACTAACACTGGTTGATTTTTGCTTGCACTCACAGTTGATTCTTTGACATAGGAACTTGAGGGTATACATACAGCCCACACTCTAGTTTCTTAGGCCACCATAGATTATAATTCCTTCGCTCATTTGCTTCCCTCACACATATTTGAAGGAAGTGCTTCAATAGCAGTCCTCTCAGGCTGATCTATTAACTCACACCTCTTAGGATAAGTAGTACTAGTTGCTAACAGCCTAGTTCTTATGTCTTCTTCACACTGGGTAAGAATTTCATGTCCAAAGTACCTTCACTGACTGAGTCTTATATCTATAGGATTTTTGGCTGAAGAACTACCCACTCAGGCTCAAATTACTTGCCCTCTCACACCAGATTTCGAATTCCAATACTCATGTGATGAAGATGACAATACTTCCCAGATGCATCTCAACAACATCAACCAGGTATGACTTTCATTACTCATTTACATCATGCTCACAGTTTCTCACCTTCTAAGTCTCTGGGCACCTTGCCAGGTGAGGGTGCAAATTTGTTTTAGATCAAACTTGTGGTTCTTTCTTGTAGACTACTACCTTGAACTTTCCCAATGATGTATTGAAGTGCCATCACAATAAAAACAGTCAGCCCCACCTTCCTGACCCTGAATCACTCCAGCTGCTGAATCAAGTGGTGAAGTCAGTCAACACTGGGAGTCGGTTGAGAACCAAGAAGTCCAAGGGATCTGAAAGTGGGCTGAGACCTGGCCAACTGGCTTGGTATGGGCCACACTGGAAAAGTTTCCTTGAGGAGGTTAAAGGAGAGTGTCGCGCTCAGCATGCCCTGGAAAACCCTTTCCCACCTTTAGTCAAGGGGATGCCAGTAACCATCTCTGAGGTTCTAGTTTCAGTTTTGGTCGCATGAGACAAGAGTGGTAGACAATTCAAGGCTGGTATGTGCTCATTTTTTTGCCAGACTGATCCATTTCATACCTTGGTGCAGGGGCTTGGCTGGAGCAGCAATACAATATGACATGGTTGGTACATGGATTATTTATGTTTATGCTGATGCCTTGCTGACATGTTTGTACTGAAGTTGTATGATGACCTGTCAACTTGGCAATTGGATCTGAAGAAAACTGCAATCAGCATCACACTGTTATCATACTCACTTTTGCCTCCACCTTTCATTCATCCTTGTTAAGAACCATGCTCAAGGGAGAGAGACTGACTCAGAGGGGCTTGGCCTCAGCTCGTACACTGTGCCCCTTACCTGAGTATGTGCCCTTCATTTCAGAGGAAGTCCGATGATGGTCTAATGAAGTCCAGAGAACTTCTGGAGGCTGGCTACTCTGGTGGAGAGTGCAAGAGGACTTCTGGAGGAGCACAGGAAACATCCGGAGGAGCGCAGGAGAGTTCTGGAGGAATGCAGGAAGTGCTCAGGAGAGTTCCCACTGCAAGGTAATACTTCTACAGGAAAACAGGATGGAAGGATAGGAGGTCCAGAGGACAAGATGTCCGGAGGTCCAGGGTATGTCCGAAGGTACGGAGGGCAGAATGTCCGAAGGTACGGAGGGCAGAATGTCCGAAGGTACGGAGGGCAGAATGTCCGAAGGTACGGAGGGCAGAATGTCCGAAGGTACGGAGGGCAGAATGTCCGAAGGTACGGAGGGCAGAATGTCCGAAGGTACGGAGGGCAGAATGTCCGAAGGTACGGAGGGCAGAATGTCCGAAGGTACGGAGGGCAGAATGTCCGAAGGTACGGAGGGCAGAATGTCCGAAGGTACGGAGGGCAGAATGTCCGAAGGTACGGAGGGCAGAATGTCCGAAGGTACGGAGGGCAGAATGTCCGAAGGTACGGAGGGCAGAATGTCCGAAGGTACGGAGGGCAGAATGTCCGAAGGTACGGAGGGCAGAATGTCCGAAGGTACGGAGGGCAGAATGTCCGAAGGTACGGAGGGCAGAATGTCCGAAGGTACGGAGGGCAGAATGTCCGAAGGTACGGAGGGCAGAATGTCCGAAGGTACGGAGGGCAGAATGTCCGAAGGTACGGAGGGCAGTCGAGTAGGCAATGTCCGAAGGTACGGAGGGCAGAATGTCCGAAGGTACGGAGGGCAGAATGTCCGAAGGTACGGAGGGCAGAATGTCCGAAGGTACGGAGGGCAGAATGTCCGAAGGTACGGAGGGCAGAATGTCCGAGGTACGGAGGGCAGAATGTCCGAAGGTACGGAGGGCAGAATGTCCGAAGGTACGGAGGGCAGAATGTCCGAAGGTACGGAGGGCAGAATGTCCGAAGGTACGGAGGGCAGAATGTCCGAAGGTACGGAGGGCAGAATGTCCGAAGGTAACGGAGGGCAGAATGTCCGAAGGTACGGAGGGCAGAATGTCCGAAGGTACGGAGGGCAGAATGTCCGAAGGTACGGAGGGCAGAATGTCCGAAGGTACGGAGGGCAGAATGTCCGAAGGTACGGAGGGCAGAATGTCCGAAGGTACGGAGGGCAGAATGTCCGAAGGTACGGAGGGCAGAATGTCCGAAGGTACGGAGGGCAGAATGTCCGAAGGTACGGAGGGCAGAATGTCCGAAGGTACGGAGGGCAGAATGTCCGAAGGTACGGAGGGCAGAATGTCCGAAGGTACGGAGGGCAGAATGTCCGAAGGACAGGATGCCTGGAGGTCCAGAAGGAATAGGGGCTACATCAGATGAAGTCTGATGTAGAAGCAAATGGAGGTAGACTACCCTAAGGTAGAGTTGGAGGGACAGGAAGTGGACCTAAGTCCAGAAAGAGGGTGAGTGCCGGAAAGGCAAGACTCCAGCCTAGGGAAGCAATCCCTAGACTTGGGACAGAGACATAGGGGACAAATCCGAAGGTCTGGAATTACAGCCTAGGGAAAGGATTCCCTAGGCCTTATGGAAAAGGACGAGACTCCGATGGACTGAAGTCCGGAAGATGATTGGCAAGTAGCACAGGATCTAAGATGAGAGAGCAGGGACTAAGATGATATTCAGACTGAGGACTCTACAGGAATTGTACAGGGGTTATATACTAGAGGCTATCCAAGAGGATCTGTAAGCAAAGGAGTAAGGCTATGTATGAGCATGCGGAAACACATTGGTAAGTAAGACGGAACATAAGTAAATGAACTTGGAGATGAAACTAGTACAAGGATCAATCAGCAAGATGGAAACAGAGATAACCGAGAACCAGAAAGGGGGAGATGCCTAAATGGGGATAGGCACAGGATCTTGGACGGAGGGTGGGAATAGGTCCGGAGATCTGGGGATCTGGAAGGCAGGGTGGAAACAGGACTGAGATATGTGAGGTGGTGGATGTAGTCTGGAATCTGAGAGGAGGTAAAGTCCAGATGTCTTGCTGGACAGAATGTGCATAGGGTGGACAGGATAGGGGATCCAGGAATGAGTTGGATATGGGGTCCGGAAACAGGTCCGGAAAGCGTGGGAATATGATGGGATATGACAGTCCTCAACAACATGTGACTTGGGTCAAAAGGGCCACTAAAGATTTACTCAAGGGTGGTTTGTTTTTACAGTTCAGAATAGACCAAAATGTAAGTGACCTTGTACTAATTGCAACCTTACTCACAACAAAATTGACAGGGCAAAATGAGGAATTTGGCCCAAACCAGGACTATTTGAGAGTTATTTGGTGCTCACTGGGCATGTCTGTGGGCTAGTGATGTTCCAGCCCAGCTTGGGCTCAAAGCCCTGGCTTAGGCTCAGCCTGGAGGGGCTTAGGCTTGCCAGAATTCAAGCCTGAGCCATGAGCCCAAGCCAGCTGAAAGCCGGGGCTTGGGCCTAAGCAAGCCATGGCCCATGCTCTGAATTTCTGCAATGGCAATGCAAACAAGTGAGCATGCAGATCCAAGTAAGTAAATTGTCAGAACCTGAGTGGTTCTTGCTGCGAGTTTGAAGGGGTGTGGAAATGACTAGTGTGCTGTATATGCACTGCAGAATTAGATTAGCGTTAATGAAAGATATTCAGTAAGGATCGAGATGAGTCTGAAATGATAAATGATAGATACAGCAATGCAGTTTTAGAAGACAAGTGTGAGAATGAGACTGGGAGACTGGTATATTTGCCTGCAGTAGTGAGTGTACATGGACTACTTTTATACTGCAAAATGCTAAGGGTCCTCAGGTATGGATAGGCTGAATGATTAGGTGAAAACAGATGCCAAAGGGAGTGGCATTGCTCCTGACAGGGTAGAGTAGATAGAAAGGAAAGAGAGTATGAAAGGACTGAGTGAGTATCAATATAAATGGGTATGATTTTGACAGAATGGCGAGAGTCATATAGCATTTTGACAGATTCAGGAGCGGTGAACTGAGCGTGAGGTGAGAGTGACAAGAATGGGGAGCTGAGGGTCAATAATGACAAGGAATTGATGCTGAAAGGAAGTCGAGGTCCATGCTAACTGGCACACTATGACAAGTTGTCATAGTGTGAGTAGTGCTTGACATGGTAGTACAGAGCACAGAGGCTGCCAGACTTGATAATGTGGGGTCAAGACTTGACACAGTGATACAATAATTCACACTCCTGTCTGAAAAACAAACTTTAGATCAATGATTAGAGACAATACAACACAAACACAAGATGCACAGAACATTCCCAAGTAGTAGAGTATGAACATGGAAGACAAGCACTGTGAAATTGATGAGGTGAATGCAGCATTCCAGGGCCTGTACACAGATGGACATTCATATCATATGTTGATCATTAGCAAGGATACAAAGTGTTTGGAATTCATTTCAAGTGACGTAAGATAGTGTTTGAACATAATCTGTACCCTAGGATTTGTGATGGAGCCACGTCACATAAGCTGTGTCAGTGCCGCATCAATTTCACCTGGCCCACCGAAAACAATACACAGCAACTCACTATGATTTCTCTGATATATCTTGTGGTATGGTGGACTAAGAAGCTGATACTGAGATGGCAGATGCAGCAGAGGCAGAAACAGGAACTTCAAAGCACACAAATAAATAATTTGAGCTCAACTGTGGGAAAGTTGTCCATCATTGTCTGGCGCAACAAGTACTAGACTTTACACTGCTAAGCCGCGGCTTGGGCCGGCAGCTTAGACTTCAAAAAATTGAAGCCTAGGCCGAAGCCCTCGTCAGGCCGTGTCCTAGGCCTGGGCTAGGCCTGGCTTCGGCTGGCCCGGGGCTTGAAGCGGCCGGGCAGGAACATCACTACTGTGGGCATCTGTACAGAGATTGACAGAAAAGTCTGCCACTGTAGCAAGCTAGGTAGTAGGGACCAAGCTAGGGAGCTGGGATACTGCACAGCTCTGTGCAGGCTGTTTTAGTTTGCTGATGTAGAAAGGTACTTTGAAGTCTCGTGTCCTCCCCTCAGCTAGTTCGATGCTCGAGCATTACCTAGTCTCCCGTAGCTAGACCTCGAAGCTTGAAGAAGGAAGATAGTCGATCGTTTTTCTCACTATTATTGCGGTTTAAAAACATGCTCAAGCTGGCTCCGGTTGAGTCCAAGAAACGAGTCTCGAGCGAACAAGCGGGTCGGACGCGGCCCGCTTCTTATCATTCATACTTAAACTAAGTGACAGTTATTTCTACCCAGCCTCCTCTCAATCACCTCTCATAATGGCACCCGTCACACACATTATGTACTTTAAGACCTCCTCGTCCTACCTCCAGGATCCCGCTCGGTTGATTTCTGAGCTTGCGACCAAAAGTCCAGCAGACAAAATTGAAGGGTTTTCTAAGTGAATCACTAAAGTCATCCTCGAAGCATGCCAGCTTATCATTGATTAAGGGCATACCTTGGTTTCGAGACGGAGGATCCAAGCAATGCATTTTGGATCTTCGGTAAGTCAAGTTTGCGACATACTACGTCCAATTGCGTTGAACTACTCGTAGAGTGGACTTCCAAGTCTGCACATGACACATATCATCAGACAGACACTTTCAAGGCTGCACGATCAGCTTCTCAACAAGTCTTTGCGAGCAGACCTACCCACACACTTACCGGGTTCTCCAACACTAGTCAGATCTTTTCTGCTCCAGTGACGGAATTTGTCACTTTCACTCTCAAAGAGGGTGTCAGTATGGATAAGCTCCAGCCCCTCGTCACACAGCTTGAGGTTAAGCTTCCAGGAACACCCAAGTTCTACGGCTCGAGCTGGGCACCTGTCGTTGATAAGCCCAACATAGTTCACGGCGTGTTAGGATGGGAAAGCGTGCAGGTAATTTCAACATTAGTTCCTCAGAGTCACCTGCTTATCCGTCACAGGCACACTGGGATGCTGTAAGCTCAGGTCCCCTCAAAGAGATCATCGATGAAGTGAAGAAGGTTGCAGGTCTTTGGCTTGTCCACGCCGTGCTGACGCAATACAATGTGTGAACTTGATTATCGAATGCTTTGTACGAACCACACTTTGTCGTTGTTTTGTAGGAAGATATTTTGAAGTCATGAGACATACAGTCCTGGATATATATTTCCGAGGAACATTGGCAAGCGCTTCTCTGTATTCTACACGCAGTATTTTACAAGTTAGCAATATGCCAGCCACTGTGGGTGTACTTACCACTATCCTATGCAGTAGCGGTCAGTGGTGAACTGACGCTGATGCTGGCTCACGAAGTCCATAAGCACAGCCTCGCCGTGTTGTCTCCTGACAAACTTATGCTACTGTGCCTTCCATGTATGGAGGCAACCGTAGCTTGAACATGACACTCAGCCACATACACAGAAATAGCAGCCTCGTCCAACAAGTGTGAGATTCAGAAAATTTACGAAGGTCCTCTGTCGGAGTGTATCTCAGGCGTGATGAGATTGAAGAACACCAGCATTTTCTACAGCCTTGAAGACAAGGCACCCGAGCCTCACTCCGATGCTGAAGCTGGCGATGATGATGCAAAAATCCCTTGGTGCAGTTATCGAGGATGCTCTGGGCAGTGGACATCAGCTGATATCCTGGCTGTTGATCCTGGAAATATTGTGTTGCTGATGTACAGAGGTGATTTGCATGGGCTGGGAGATCACGCGTCACGAGAATATATGAGCGCAAGTACTATCTTGCCCCGTATAGTGGGAGCTCGTAGAATATTTTTCTCAAAATCTTGAATTTCGTGACATACTTTAATCAACCCTCTGTGACGCGTCACCGGTAGGTGAGAGTGAATTTCTATATTTATATATCGCTGAAACTGTTAAGACGCGGCGCTCTGCGAGCTGTCTTGGGGAATATCGAACAAGATTGGAACAAGATAAGGGAAATAGGTATACAGTACGAATAGCACAGAGACCGTCTGATTTTTGATGTTGGTGTTTTCTAGCTTGCGCTTGCGTCACTAGTGAGTGAATTAGCAACGCAACCAAGGCCGTACGACGCGTCACAGTTGTCTCCATACACAAAGGGATGATATTGTTGCTGTAATGACTCGTTGCTCTATCCTGGAGCTCCACGTGAGTGATTGCATTCTACCCATATGTATGGTACCATTGTAAGGATTACTGTGACTCAAGAAAATGCAAGCGAAGCCTTCTAAGTCGAGTCTTGGGGAAGCTCGGTGTCTTATCAAGCAACAGCACTGGTGTCTCTGTGTATCTCCATACCAGGGGGTGCACCCAAAGCTATTGTGAAAGGTTAAAAAGTAGAATGTGAACCTTCCTTGATGCTTGCCTTCTTTTATTGCACCATACAGTACGAATTGCCCGGACACAAGGCCTGCGGTCATTATCATCCTAGGTCCAAGACCAGCGAAAAGGCCGCGGAAACCAGCCTCACGAGCGAGCACTGCGAGTCGATGCGGCATGGAGCCCTTTGGTCCGTGTCCCTTGTTTATCTGACTCAATAGGGTATCCGCTGGCTGCATGCCATCGTTCCAGAGGTCAGATAATCTGGGTGAAGATACTTCCGAGTCGAGACAGATACTCACATGACTTAGAATGGCTGCTGCAAAACCTGCGATAATGCCGCTACCGAGCTGTATTGTGAATTTGTTGGCACTGGAGAGCGTGCGACGAGTCTCTTCGGACATTGAACGAAAAGCAATCTCATGACAGAATTCGTTCACTGTAAATTGCCCGATAGCGTAAGGTATCTGTCTGGACAGAACATTATTTATGCGACGTTCGTCAGTAATTATAGGCTCACTTGCAAAGAATCGGGACAAAGCCTGCGTAAAGCTCGCTCATGCCACCTTCACGCGCCAGACGAGTGAAGCCTGTGACAAGTCCAGTTGCATAAGTTCTGTCTGACACGAGACGGATCCGGGTGGCTTCTAAAGGTGTCAGGAGGATATCTGCAAAGAACCTAGGATGGAATGTAGGAAAGTTAGGAGATTGTCAGTA